ATAGTGAGACTCTGTCTCAAAAAAAGAGAAAAAAGATATAAAATATAAGCTTAGGAAACTGAGAAGTAAGAAAAGGAACTAATTTAATGTTAAGAACCTTGGTTCTATAAAGAAATCTACCATTATGTCCTAAAAAAAAGATGCTGTAGATAGAAGAGGCACACAGTCTGTGCATTGAATTGACTTTCAAATATTCCAGTGATTTTTTTTGCATACTTTTAAACAAAAAACTTTAGTTTGATAATTTGTATATATTTATGTAAAGATAGAAGTTTAAATATTTGAGTAGATAAAAGAGTATATTGTAAAGACACAGCATTTGATTGCTTAAGATACTTACTTCATATTTTTCTGTCTTAGCCTGTATTTTATTTAGGGAACTTTATCAAGGGAAACTTTTAGAAAAACTGATAATAGTGTGTGATGGAAGGGTTTAAGAGAAATCAAAAATATTTGGTACTTTAAAATTAACCCAAGAATGGTTCGATTGTAAGTAAGCTGTCTTAGTCCATGGTGGTATTCTTTGTAATTAAAAGAATTTTAAGCAGTTCAGTTAGTGTAAATCTAAAGTTAAACTTCAGTTTAGAAACACTCCCCAGCTTTGTACAACTCCAGAAAGCGTTTTTTCACACATATGCAGTGCCGAGCCTAGACAGTGATACATGGTGGCCCTAGGTCAGCTGATTATTCAGGGAGATTTTCAAAGAGGAAAGAGAGGTGGTGGCAGAAGAACCCCCCGAGCCAGTCTTTATCTGAAAGTAAGTATTTGGGAGACATGTTAGCTCTTTTAATGCTGTCTTCAGATTCATTTATCATCATCTTGCAGAAGTGCTAACCATATCTACTGCTACAAAATTAATCATTTTAACCTGTTTGAAGGTTTTAACTAATTGTCAGATGATGCTTAGTGAACACAAACACACACCAGCAGTGCACAGCAGTGGGAGACAGGATAGGAGGTCACTATTAGTTGTTAGGCCTGCTCATAATTCATCTTCTAATGGAAGCACAGCTCGCTCGTTCAAGAGGATATCAAACATTGTGTACCTTGTCTAAAGCAGCTTCTCATGAAAGAGAATTTCAAGCATAGTTGTCTTATTCAGGTTTAATACTTTTAGGTGATTTGTTTTTAGGATCAGTGTGGCTATGCCTTCTAGTAGGTCACAAAAAATCTGAGTTTTCACAGTAACAAACTCTGATCCTTCATTTATTATTGTTACTTGCCTTCCTTCCTGATTTCAGTGTTGTGTAATCCTGATATCTTTTCCTGGAGTACCACCCCTTTGTTTACCCGTTTCCTTCTTTTTTTGTAGCTTTTAGCCAGGCCTGGGTTTGAACCCGCCACCTCCGGCATATGGGACCAGTCCCCTACCCTTTTGAGCCACAGGCGCCGCCCTGTTTCCTTCTTTTTCATATCTAGAACCCAAAACTCTTAGCCATACTCAGTAAGGCTTAGCCTTTTCCACTCCCCACAGAAACTGCCACAGCTGTTTCCTTGGGTAGATGACTCTGACATCTTCAGTTGTGACTTCCCAGTCCTCTTCATAATTTTGATAACTTCTATCCGCTCAGAAATGACTAAAACTCTTATTTAGACTTACTAAACTACTCTGACCTACTGAGGGTAAGCCTAAGCCAGTGGATCCAAAACCTCATATTGAGGTTAAGGGAATCAGCATGGACAAAGAATTGTGCTAGACTGTTTCAGAAAGTGAGAAAACTTTTATTTCAAGTGTGTAATTTTAAGATACTGCCATTCTTTATACATTTAATCAGCAGCAATTTTGGCAAGTGCATCATCTGTCTGAAAGGTAATCAAACTTGAAGTTTCAGGGCCAGGTGTGGTGGCTCATGCCTGTAATCCTAGCACTTTGGGAGGCCAAGGTGGAAGGATTCCTTGAAACCAGGAATTTGAAACTAGCCTGGGCAATAGCAAGACCTAGTCTCTACAAAATATTTATTTTTTATTTAAATATAATTTATTTAAAAATTAGCCAGGTGTGGTGGTGTAAGTCTGTGGTCTCAACTACTCAGGAGGCAGGAAGATCATTTGAGCCTGGGAGTTGGAAGCTACAGTGAGCTATGACAATATCATTGTACTCTATCCCAAGCAACAGAGCAAGAGCCTGTTTAAAAAAAAATGTCTCAGGGTATACAAAGGTTGATCAACTTTCTGGAATGTGGAATAACACATTTGAAAAGAAAGTTGCAACTGAAATTTTATACTGATTGTGTTCTGCTGTCCATTTTAACCCTTGAATTTAAGTTTGGTAATTTCTTTT